TTTTTTTTTTCTGTTAAGGTTTCTTTGGTTTAAGAATGTGTTTTGGGTAGTTTTTATTTCAAGAAAAATTGGGTTTTTTTTGTTATCAAATATGACCTTACTAAAAAATATATAATTGAAAATAATAGAAAATATCTTTTTGTGTGTTGCGTACGACCAAGTCTATAAAAAAAAATTAAAAAAATCATTTTTTTGTTTAAAATATAGATATATAAAAATACATGTTGTGTTTTAGCTTTTTTTTTTTACAAAATATATATTATCATGCATATTAGATCTAATAATTAGTTGATTAGATCCATGAGAACTTGATCAATATTTCAATAACTCCTATAAATTTTAATTCATGAAATTAATGGTCAATATTTTGGTATAAATGTTGGATTTATAGGAAAGTTGGTATTTAAATGTTAGGAGTTGATTAGAAAATTCTTAAAATTATTTTAAATATTCATCAATTTTAACTAGAAATATTTTTTATCGCAATATATGAATGGCAAAAAAACCTTTCTATAAGAATTCATTTGAGCATACGAGTTTATAATAAATTTCAAAACATCAAATTTACTCACACGAATGAATCTTCATCCTAAACCATAGACAAACTATCGGTTAGGAATTCATCAAAACCTTAAGATCACATTTAGGCTACACAATATAGCTTATATCAAGTATGGTACGATAAGGATGTTAATATCTTTTCTAGTCATAATCAGTCATTTATCCTTAGAATCTCTAATAATATCAATATATTAGGGTTTCTTAATAATTATAAATCAAACAACTAAATTATAACTCTTTGACTTATTAATATTGCACGTCCACATGTAACATTGTTTTTTACGCTTCCTTGCCTAACAAATCTATTGTACATATATAGTAGTTAAAGTATGGTAAAGTGGATTTGATCTATATCTAAAATTCTATACAAAAGTAAATAAGAAAAGAAATATGGAATATTGAAAAAGATAGGAATGGGTTCACATCTCTTATATTTAATCATATCCAATGGCAGTATGGGCTCAGTTGGGCTTTAGCCTAGGTCAAGATTTTTTTAATATTTTTTAACTAGTTTTATATAAAGAAAATTTATAATTCTCAATTAAGATATTAAAAAATTCTAAAATTTTACATGAAGCCTTTAATATGATATTTTAACTTGGGTTAAAATTTAATAATTTTTGGATAAATTCAGAAATTTAATAAAAAATTATAATTTGACCAGTTTTACGTTATTGGATATAATTTTCAATCCAACCATCATATTGAGCTGAAATTTTACATGGAATCTCAAAATATATTAAATAAACTTTGGTAAAAATTTTAGAATGATAGATTTTGGTAATGCTAACACAAAAAAACATCAAATAAAAGCAAAACAACTTAGTAAGGGTAAAATGATTATTTAACATTAAAAAATAAAATAAAATAGTTATTTCTTCCTTTTATATGTTGTTGACTGGGTAGAAGCAGAATAGAAAAAGAAAAAAAATAGGTGAGAAAGAAAAGTAGGGAAAAAAAACAAAAACATATTCAAAAAAAGAAAAGAAAAGTGAGAGAATAACCTTGTAAACTTAGAAAGTTTAATTTATAAAATACTAATTTAAAAAAGAATCAAGTGGATAAAGGAGGAATTGAGAGAGAAAATAATTTAATTATTTTATTTTTTAGTTGATGTGAGATTGTTATTTTATTTTGATTGAGGGGTTGTTACAATATCGATTCAGATTTAATTATAGATGAATTATATTTTACAAAACATCAAAAAAATATAAATTTAATAGTGAGTTTATTTTTATTTTAACTTTAATTTTATATATTTTCAAATTTATTTTTAATATTTTAGGTAGTGTATTTGAATTAAAATTTTGCTATTAATTTTAATAACCTAGGATAAGAAATTTTATTTACTTCACCCTTAATCATATCTAAAATCAATATAAAGTATGGTAAGGTGAATCTCATGCATAATCAATATATCTAAATTCCATGTAAGAGTAAAAAAGTAAATAAGACATTGCCACAGTGGGTCCATGAAGAGGATAGGATTGGATTGACATCTCTTATGTCTGGTCATATCTGAAATAGTTTCCTTTATTTTCGAAACGATGTTTTCGTCCAAGATAGATGTATTATGTCCGAAAACAGATGAATCAAGACGTCGATGTGTCCGGTCACACATTGCCACGGTGGGTGCATGGAAGCGGCTCCCACACCCCCCAAGGAAATACGCGCTTGCATGACATTACCAAGTTTGTATTAGACTGCACTCCCACGTTGCCTTGCTTTATATAAACTGAAGAATGACTCGTTTTACTTTTAAAATCTGAGAAACATCACATTCTTTCCTTCACCCTCATTCGTCCCTCTCCCCTTCATAACAATGGATCCTCCATTTGAAGAGAAATACAAATCCCTCTTAACCAATGGTACTCTATTATCAAAAGACAAGGATGATGTTATAATGAGTTATTACGAGGAGCATGAGCTGCCTATCATAGATCTTCACCGTTTGACTCTCTCCTTCTCGGAAAGAGAGCAATGTATAAAAGAGATAAGGCGGGCTGCACGTGAATGGGGCTTCTTTCAAGTTGTGAATCATGGGATTCCACAGGAGATTTTGGAGCGCATTCAACTGGAGCAAAGGAAGCTTTTCCATCATCCATTCAGCAAAAAGGCTGAAGAAAACATTTTGAATTTGTCTGAAAACAATGGTTACAGATGGGGTAACCATACAGCCACTTGTTTGAGGCAGATATCATGGTCAGAGGCCTTCCACATGCCTCTTACAGATATTTCAAAAATTGGTGGTGACAACAAGAGTCTCAGGTGCTGTTAAATTTCCCATTACAGCTAAATAATGCAGCTTATGGACTAAACATATTAAGGATTTCTTACCGATCTAATTTAATTTTGAGGTTATCTGGATAAGCTCACAAATGCAAGGTGTATCCAATGGTTTACCAATTACCTTAGCTTGGGTGATTAAGTGAAAATGAACTATATCAATAGGGAGTGCCTCCTACTGTAAATCGTCATTACAACCTAATATCTTGTACACATATATTTGGTTATGCATGTATTGTTTTTAATTGAACTTATTTCTAATCTTTCCAACATTCCTTCATCTTAATTTACAGAGAGAGCATTGAAGCTTACGCAGCAACAGCTGAGAAATTGGCTAAAGAGATGACAGAGATTCTAGCTGAGAATCTGGATGTTTCCTCCACTTACTTTCAAGAGAATTGTCTGCCGGAAACTAATTATCTTCGAATGAACAGATATCCTCCATGTCCATTCTATTCTGAGGTGTTTGGCATACTGCCTCATACCGATAGCTGTTTCGTCAATGTATTAATTCAAGACCAGATTGGAGGATTGCAACTTTGGGTAAATGGAGAATGGATTAGCGTTAAACCTCATCCAGAAGCTCTACTAATTAATCTTGGTGACTTATTTCAGGTATGTTCCTATGAACTTGTGAAGATTGTTATTAGTGTCTAAATTATTTTTAGGTATGTTCCCATAGTGTACAACTTATTATTTTTTTGGAATTATAAAACTCAAGCTAAATTATATTATTTAATATAATATTAGAGTCTAAAAAACAAAGTTTCAAGAGCTACGAACTTCAAAAAATGGTCTGCAAATGACCGGGAATGTTAGCAAACATAACCTACATTGAATAAATAAACGATAGAAAAACAATATATAAAGTTTACAATAAATCATCTACTATAAAACTTATTTTTTAAAAATAAAATCCAAACTAAACCAATATTTTTTATATATGTCCATATTAAAAAGAAAAAGAATTTAAAATAGATAAAACAGACGTGTCATGTGCGCTAATAGGCATGTGACCCCATCACACAAGGGTTTTCATTGAATATTTCTTAAAGAAATTTTTAGTTTTTATATTTTTACGTATACTAAATCTGTTTTGAGTTTGGTTCTTTATTTTGGTTTGTTTCCAGGTTAACTTGGTTGGGTCAACCTATTCGAGTCAAAACTGGGTCAATTAGCAGGCCCTGTTTGATTTGCTGAATTTTTTTTTTTTTTCTGTTAAGGTTTCTTTGGTTTAAGAATGTGTTTTGTGTAGTTTTTATTTCAAGAAAAATTGGGTTTTTTTTTTGTTACCAAATATGACCTTACTAAAAAAATATATAATTGAAAATAATAGAAAATATCATTTTGTGTGTTGCATACGACCAAGTCTATTAAAAATTAAAAAAAATCATTTTTTGTTTAAAATATAGATATATAAAAATACATATTGTGTTTTAGCATTTTTTTTACAAAATATATATTATCATGCATATTAGATCTAATAATTAGTTGATTAGATCCATGAGAACTTGATCAATATTTCAATAACTCCTATAAATTTTAATTCATGAAATTAATGGTCAATATTTTGGTATAAATGTTGGATTTATAGGAAAGTTGGTATTTAAATGTTAGGAGTTGATTAGAAAATTCTTAAAATTATTTTAAATATTCATCAATTTTAACTAGAAATATTTTTTATCGCAATATATGAATGGCAAAAAAACCTTTCTATAAGAATTCATTTGAGCATACGAGCTTATAATAAATTTCAAAATGTCAAATTTACTCACACGAATGAATCTTCATCCTAAACCATAGACAAACTATCGGTTAGGAATTCATCAAAACTTTAATATTACATTTAGGCTACACAATATAGCTTATATCAAGTATGGTACGATAAGGATGTTAATATCTTTTCTAGTCATAATCAGTCATTTATCCTTAGAATCTCTAATAATATCAATATATTAGGGTTTCTTAATAATTATAAATCAAACAACTAAATTATAACTCTTTGACTTATTAATATTGCACGTCCACATGTAACATTGTTTTTTACGCTTCCTTGCCTAACAAATCTATTGTACATATATAGTAGTTAAAATATGGTAAAGTGGAAACTTAGTAAGGGTAAAATGATTATTTAACATTAAAAAATAAAATAAAATAGTTATTTCTTCCTTTTATATGTTGTTGACTGGGTAGAAGCAGAATAGAAAAAGAAAAAAAATAGGTGAGAAAGAAAAGTAGGGAAAAAAAACAAAAACATATTCAAAAAAAGAAAAGAAAAGTGAGAGAATAACCTTGTAAACTTAGAAAGTTTAATTTATAAAATACTAATTTAAAAAAGAATCAAGTGGATAAAGGAGGAATTGAGAGAGAAAATAATTTAATTATTTTATTTTTTAGTTGATGTGAGATTGTTATTTTATTTTGATTGAGGGGTTGTTACAATATCGATTCAGATTTAATTATAGATGAATTATATTTTACAAAACATCAAAAAAATATAAATTTAATAGTGAGTTTATTTTTATTTTAACTTTAATTTTATATATTTTCAAATTTATTTTTAATATTTTAGGTAGTGTATTTGAATTAAAATTTTGCTATTAATTTTAATAACCTAGGATAAGAAATTTTATTTACTTCACCCTTAATCATATCTAAAATCAATATAAAGTATGGTAAGGTGAATCTCATGCATAATCAATATATCTAAATTCCATGTAAGAGTAAAAAAGTAAATAAGACATTGCCACAGTGGGTCCATGAAGAGGATAGGATTGGATTGACATCTCTTATGTCTGGTCATATCTGAAATAGTTTCCTTTATTTTCGAAACGATGTTTTCGTCCAAGATAGATGTATTATGTCCGAAAACAGATGAATCAAGACGTCGATGTGTCCGGTCACACATTGCCACGGTGGGTGCATGGAAGCGGCTCCCACACCCCCCAAGGAAATACGCGCTTGCATGACATTACCAAGTTTGTATTAGACTGCACTCCCACGTTGCCTTGCTTTATATAAACTGAAGAATGACTCGTTTTACTTTTAAAATCTGAGAAACATCACATTCTTTCCTTCACCCTCATTCGTCCCTCTCCCCTTCATAACAATGGATCCTCCATTTGAAGAGAAATACAAATCCCTCTTAACCAATGGTACTCTATTATCAAAAGACAAGGATGATGTTATAATGAGTTATTACGAGGAGCATGAGCTGCCTATCATAGATCTTCACCGTTTGACTCTCTCCTTCTCGGAAAGAGAGCAATGTATAAAAGAGATAAGGCGGGCTGCACGTGAATGGGGCTTCTTTCAAGTTGTGAATCATGGGATTCCACAGGAGATTTTGGAGCGCATTCAACTGGAGCAAAGGAAGCTTTTCCATCATCCATTCAGCAAAAAGGCTGAAGAAAACATTTTGAATTTGTCTGAAAACAATGGTTACAGATGGGGTAACCATACAGCCACTTGTTTGAGGCAGATATCATGGTCAGAGGCCTTCCACATGCCTCTTACAGATATTTCAAAAATTGGTGGTGACAACAAGAGTCTCAGGTGCTGTTAAATTTCCCATTACAGCTAAATAATGCAGCTAATGGACTAAACATATTAAGGATTTCTTACCGATCTAATTTAATTTTGAGGTTATCTGGATAAGCTCACAAATGCAAGGTGTATCCAATGGTTTACCAATTACCTTAGCTTGGGTGATTAAGTGAAAATGAACTATATCAATAGGGAGTGCCTCCTACTGTAAATCGTCATTACAACCTAATATCTTGTACACATATATTTGGTTATGCATGTATTGTTTTTAATTGAACTTATTTCTAATCTTTCCAACATTCCTCCATCTTAATTTACAGAGAGAGCATTGAAGCTTACGCAGCAACAGCTGAGAAATTGGCTAAAGAGATGACAGAGATTCTAGCTGAGAATCTGGATGTTTCCTCCACTTACTTTCAAGAGAATTGTCTGCCGGAAACTAATTATCTTCGAATGAACAGATATCCTCCATGTCCATTCTATTCTGAGGTGTTTGGCATACTGCCTCATACCGATAGCTGTTTCGTCAATGTATTAATTCAAGACCAGATTGGAGGATTGCAACTTTGGGTAAATGGAGAATGGATTAGCGTTAAACCTCATCCAGAAGCTCTACTAATTAATCTTGGTGACTTATTTCAGGTATGTTCCTATGAATTTGTGAAGATTGTTATTAGAGTCTAGATTGTTTTTAGGTATGTTCCCATAGTGTACAACTTCTTGTTTTTTTTTTTGGAATTATAAAACTCAAGCTAAATTATCTAATTTAATATAATATTAGAGTCTAAAAACACAAAGTCTCAAGAGCTACGAACTTCAAAAAATGGTCTGCAAATGACCGGGAATGTTAGCAAACATAACCTACATTGAATAAATAAACTCTAGAAAAACAATATATAATGTTGACAATGAATCATCTACTATACATAAAACTTAATTTTTTAAAATAAAACGCAAACTAAACCAATACTTTTTATATATGTCCATATTAAAAAGAAAAAGAATTTAAAATAGATAAAACAGATGTGTCATGTGCTCTAATAGGCATGTGACCCCATCATACAAGGGCTTTCATTGATTTAAAAATTGGTGTGACTTGCTTACACTGTTGGGATATTAAGTGAAATCCTAATTATTTCTAAATAAAAAAATATTAGACTAATTAATCCAAATCATTATTTAACTAGTTAATTAAATTTTTTATTAGATTATTATAGTTAGAGATTATTTAAAATTTAAAAAGTCCTGAATCAATCAAAAGATAGATATTGTTAGTGAATCCCGTATTGAATAAATGAAATTTTAAGTATAATATATAAAGTTAATAATAAGTAATTCACCGCAAAACTTAATTCTTTTTAATAAAATTCAAGAATCTAAGAAAAAAACAAAGTTTGTAGAGATCAAGCCACAATATATAAAGTTGGCAATAGACCACCAACCAAAAGATTTAAATCCTTTAAATATAATCGAAACTAAACTATTAGACTTAAATCTTGTTTTAAATAGAATCCAAACTACTTACACAATTGAATTTAAAATTCATAAATTTCGAATATTTTTTTATATAATTATTAAAGATTGAACTTTTAATATCGGTTGCATTTTTTATGCATGTTTGTGTTTGATGAAATGCAGGCATTGAGCAATGATGTTTACAAAAGCATTAGGCATCGGGTGCTTGCCTCCAAACAAGTTGAAAGGCTTTCTTTGGCATATTTGTATTGCCCCAGAAATGATGCTGTCATAGAGAGTGGAATGAAGCCATCAATTTATAGGAAGTTCACATTCGAAGAGTTGATGAAGCAAAATTCAAGGGACATTGAAGAAACAGGCTGCAAACTCGGGATCTCGAGGTTTCTCATGTGAATATGAGCATATTGTGCAAGAACATTTGATCAGGACTGAATAAAATTTTCTTACTAGTGCTGCTAAAAATATTTATCTGTCATGAAACAAGAATAGTAAATAAAGGTGGGAATGAGTCGCCTCATGAACAATTGTAACTTAATTGAGCATTTCAATATTTTCTATAATATTATATGAATAAAAATATTTCACGAGCGCTTTTTTTTTATAGGGAAACATTCTTCTGAAATAGTAAGTTATTGAACAACAGGTTTGTTTGTTTTTCAATTGGAGCAGGAAGTGGAATTTCTAGACCTCTTACGAACATGGACCTTAGTGATATTCAGCTATCACAACCAGTCCTTCGTTCTGCTTGCGCTAGAGCAAGCTAGCCCTCTTATGAACATGGACCTTAGTGATATTCAGCTATCATAACTAGTCCTTCATTCTGCTCGCATTAGAGCAAGCTAGGCCTCTTACAAACATGGACCTTAGTGATATTCAGCCATCATAACTAGTCCTTCATTTTGCTTGCACTAGAGCAAGCTAGACCTCTTACGAACATGGACCTTAGTGGTATTCGGCCTCACAAGCATTTCTTAATTTTCCCAATCCCAGTGTGCACGATAGATTTAAATGACTCATAATTTGTTTTAAGTCTTTTTGAAATGTTTAGTTTAACTATATGTAATTTGCATAAAAAAATAAAAACTGAAGACCATGATTTTGTTAGTTATGTAAACTTAACAAAGTACAAAACAATCTAAAGATAAATTACTAGTGGTTTGTTGATGTTATTAAAGAGCTATAGCCTTATAAACAAACCATGTATGAAAGATTTGTATACGAAAACCTCAAACAAAATGTTTAAGTACACTCGTTAAATGACTTCGATTGTATAAAAGATAGAGATCACCTAACTATCAAGTATTATATCTTTGTTTTAATTAATTAATGACTTTTTAATGAAAACTTTGACGCTAATCCTTAAAAATATAAGATTTTGTTGGTTTTGAATTTGAACAAAAAATCTTTTTTAAAACTAAAATCACTATTAAAAAAACGTTATATAATTACCAAAGAAAGATAAAAAAAATATATATTGGAATAATGACTTCATATTTTGTATGTGATTAAAGGCTGAAAAGAAATAATAAACATGATAAAAAATTTTAAAAATCTATTTAAAATTTTTAAAAATTAAAAATTCATAAGCAATTTATTATTAATATTTTTTTCATATTAGGTATAGAATAATTAAAAAAACAATTATTCACTCTAATGGAATCCTATAACAGTATTTAATAATCATATCAAAATTAAAGATTATATGACTTATATGTTAAAAAAATTAGATTAAAAAATAAATTAATAAAAAAATTAGGCCTAGCACCTGACGCACCTGACCTAAATAAAAGAATGTCAAGTGCACTTAGGTCTATATGCTAAGCCTAATGGCCTTAACTTTCTTTTTTTCTTAGTAGCAGACCAATTCAAGGCTGTTTTTAATTAAAAGATTAAAGTGCACTTAGGTCTATATGCTAAGCCTAATGGCCTTAACTTGCTTTTTTTCTTAGTAGCAGACCAATTCAAGGCTGTTTTTAATTAAAAGATTAATTTATTTAGGTTTATTATGTAATTTTTAGATGTTTTGTATCAAAATAAAATAAAAAATAGAATTTTAAACTAAAAAACACTATAGCTTGATTTTCCAACCATCCCTAAAAGACCGAATTTAATAAATTGATCTAAGTTAATATATTCAAACTTCATTTTTTTTTGTTATTTTATAGCTAAAATCAGAAAAATAAAAATAAAAACCACATGTTTAGTAATATTTAATATTCATTAAGCAGTAGAATTATCTTCTAAAACTATACAAAGTCTTAGCAATCAATTTGAACTTATTAACTAAATTTAAAGACATAAATATTTTATTGTTGAACATAATGTCTAAAACTAAATCAGAGAAATAAAAATAAAAATTTCATATTTTTTAATATTTAATACACATTAATTATCTCCTAACATTATACAAGTGTAAGCAATCAATTTGAACTTATTAACCAAATTTAAAGGAAATATTTTATCGATAAACATAATTTCTAATTACGTTATATTATTTTTATATTACGATGTTGTAGATTTGTTTTCAATCTCAAGCTATGGTGTAGGTTATATATAATCTTGGTAAAAAAATTACTTTAACAAACATTATATTTTTTTTATTGTTATAAGGTAACCATAAATAAAACTAAAGACACAAGAAAGTCGAGAAAATAGTAGAGAAAAAGGAAAATGAGTTATTGCAAGGTCTATAGAGAATCGAAAATCCATTTTATATAGATTTTTAGAACTAAAATTGATGCATAATCAATTATAATAATTACTAGAATTAATTTTCATTTTTTTCTCTTAATTAAAGTTATAAAAAAAATATAAAGCTGATAATGTTTTATTTTGAAAAACTAGATGTTTTTCTTTTAAAAATAAATTGTTTAAAAAATGGAAGGATAATATTCAAATTGTTTAATCATGGATTGGAAAAGCTAATAAACATCTTAAAAAATTATTATTTATGAGCTGAACAATTATTTTATAGCAAATCCAAAACTAAGTTCATAATAGATTGTCAAAATATAAATCTAAATCCAAGCCAAAATGATAGAGGCTAAGGTCTAGGCCTAAGAAACTGTTATTTATATGTTTATTTATAACTTTTTAACTTTTCATGAACTCAAAAAAATATCTATTTAAAAATTAAAATTTTAAGTTTTATAAAAACATGTTAATTAAAGGTTCTTTAAAATTAATTTTTAATTTATCCATAATTTATTTTAATAATTTTAATGTTCAATGTTAAAGAATTTTTATTAAAAAATAATTTCCAATAAGATTTTTACCTTAAAAATGAGTGGACAATACTTTTAATTTATCATTAATAATTTTTTTAAAAACAAATTTTCTAACATGTTGATCTTAATATATTGTACATATATAGTAGTTGGAGTATTGTGAAATGAATCTGATTCATAATAAATATCTACAACTTTTATATATAAATAAATAAAAAGGTATGGAATATTAAAGATAGAATTGAATTGACATCTCTTATATTATATCTAAAATTAGTATATAGGTGTTGGAGTTTGGTACATTGAATTTGATGCATAATCAATATCCGTAATTGTTATATATATGAACAAATAAAGAAAGAAGTATGGAATATTGAAGAAGATAGGATTGGATTGACATCTATTATTTCTGATCATATCTGAAATAGTTTCCTTTTGTTTTCAAATAAAATTTTCTTTTAAAATAAATATAAATAAAAAATAGAAAAAATTAAAGCCAAAGCAAATTTACTATACATATAGAAAGAATTTTACTATTCATTAAAATAGTATAATTATTATTTTTTTCCTTTCTAAAAATATCAATAGCCTTCATGTGGGGGTATTAAGATCTTTTTGCACAACTCATTATTAGTCATTAAAGGATTAATTGAAAATATACATGTCTTTTAAAGTTTTTTAAACACGTAAAATGATTCAATTATCCTTTAAAACAAAAATTTTAAAACTAACAAATAAGCTTATTCTATCTTTTTAACTTTTTAAAACATATTAAAAGCATAATTTGATTTTTTTATGCATATTAAACATTCATTAAATAAAAAAATATGCTAGCATGTAGAAGGCACTTGCACACTTTGAGCAGGATATTCTTTTTTTATTGGTGCCGTTGGTCGAGTGCTTTGTGGCCAGTCAAGACTCATTCATTAAATAAAAAAATATGCTAGCATATAGAAGGCACTTGCACACTTCGAGCAGGATATTCTTTTTTTATTGGTGCAGTTAGTCGAGTGGTATGTGGCCAGTCAAGACCCTTTTTTTTTCCTCTCTTCCCATAAAAATTGCAAGTTAATCCTCTTTATTGTAGGTATTTCAATTTTAATCCTTATTCCTTATTTCTTTGATTTTTTTTTTCTCTTAACCTTTTTTAAAAGGTTTTATTTATTTATAATTTCACCATTCAATCCAAATTTATGTTATATTAATTTTTTCAACTGGATCCTTGTTCTTTTGATTTATTTGTCCTTTCATTATAGTTATTTTTATTTTCAATTTCACACTCTAATCAAATGTATATAGTTGCTCTCTAATTTATTTTTATTTTTATTTTTATTATTTTTTGTTTTGGATCTTTTTGTTTAATTGATTTTCCCCCTGATTGCATCCCTTAATGTTTGCTTTGTTAGGGATTATGTTTTAAGGTTTTTTCATATTTGCTTCTTTTGGTCTAATGATGTATGTTACAAGTTTGATAAATTAGTTGAGATCCTTTTTTCTTAGCTTATTTTTGTTTTTGTTTTTGTTTTTAATTTTATTATTTAATTTGATTTTTTTTAAATAGCTATATGGTTTTCTTTAATTTCTTTTATATCAGGTTATTAGGACCTTATTGCCTATGATACGGACTTGATGGGTTAACTTAGGCTAGCTCAACCCTTATGTCTAAATTACATGTCTATTATGCTAACTCAAGTTTAATTAGGCTGAGTGTTTTTGTTTATTTTTATTCAATTTTATCATTCTCTAATTAATTGGCTAAAAATTTAACTACTCTTGAAAAAAAGTTTATTTTCAAGTTATTGTTATTTTTTTTTGTTCAAATATTAACATTGTTTATTTTTTATCATCTTATGAAATAAAACCAGTCTATTTGACTAGCTGAGGCTAGAGCCTGAGATGTAGAGCTTTTTTATTTCTTTAAAACATGTTTGTGCCACCTAAAATATATAAATCGAGAGGTGTAGACATATGAGTTTAAATGATAGATGTTTCCGGTGACACAATGCCATAATTGGTGTTTGCAAGCGATCTCCACCCACCCAATGAAACATAATATATTTGCATGATATTATCAAGTTTTTAATTGTTCAAAAATTCTCAAAATAATAAGATGGTTAAACAAGTGAATCTATTTATTTAATTTACAATAATGCAAGCACATAGAAATATGATAATTTTACAATCAATACAAAAGCTAGCATGCATAGTAAGTAAATATATAAACTTGCATATATATATATATATATGAAAAATCAACCATATGATGCAAATTAAACAAATATTAAAATTATAATTAGACAAAATAGTTTAGAGCATATATTTGTTGAAGTTCTTCCAAAAAATCCAATTTGAATTTTTTATTGTTTTCAATGATTAATTATTTATCTTTAATGATTTATTGCTCCTCATTTAGTGCCAAAAAACTACATTTAATAGGCCTTATAAGATTTCAGCAACTCCTTTCTATTTATATATACTTTTAAACAAGATTCAATAAACTCAAATGAATTATATTTAATATCTATTTTAAAATAACAAACCTAAGCTCTTGAATATAAAAAAAATGTCAAAGAAAAACAAATAACAAATAAAGAAAAAACTTAAAGAAATTTCATAACATATTTCCACCTAGGCCACCTAACCAAGACATATATTTACAGGACTTTAAAACTAAAATATTATTTAATTATAATTCATCCTTGCTTATTAATTATAAAAAAATATTCATATCTCATGAAAAATATTCATGAATTACTTATAAATAAATTCATTCTTATCATATAAATATTAATGTATTAGTTCATATATCAAGATATTATACAGTCTAACAAAAATTATTAATTAAACTTGAGTTTAAAATCATGAGCCCACAAGCTCATTGCTCAATCAATAAAACTATTTTAGATTTGAAATTTTTATTATTTAAATGTATTTTTAGAAGAATTTTTTATTTAGTTTTAATTGATTTTTAAAAATATATTAATATTTTATATTAAAATACCATGGTGGGTAAAAAAAATTCATCATTGTTTTTACCTCAAATATGAGTGTGGACCTAACATTTAATTTGGCTTAGAAGACCAATTATTTGGTTTATAAAACCAATTCCCATAATATTATACTGCAACTCCAAGTTTCCTAGCGTTATATAAACTGATGAAATACTCATTTTACTTTCAAAACTTAAGAAAATCACATTCTTTCCTTCACCCTCATTCGTCCCTCTCCCCCTCCTAACACAATGGATCCTCCATTTGAAGAGAAATACAAATCCCTCTTCAACAATGATACTCTAATATCAAAAGACGAGGATTATATTATAATGAGTGATTACGAGGAGCATGAGCTGCCTACAATAGATCTTCACCGTTTGACTCTCTCCTTCTCGGAGGGAGAGCAGTGTGTAAAAGAGATAAGGCAGGCTGCTCGTGAATGGGGCTTCTTTCAAGTTGTGAATCATGGGATTCCACAGGAGATTTTGGAGCGCATTCAACTGGAGCAAAGGAAGCTTTTCCATCATCCATTCAGCAAAAAGGCTGAAGAAAACGTTTTGAATCTGCCTGGTTACACATGGAGTAACCCTACAGCCACTTGTTTGAGGCAGCTCCCATGGTTAGAAGTCTTCCACATACCTCTCACAGATCTTTCAAAAATCAGTGGTGAATACAGGATTCTCAGGTACTGTTTAAATTTCCTATCATAGCTAAATAATGCAGCATGTGGACTTGACAAATTAAAGAGTTTTGGTCGATCTAATTACCTTAGGCTTGTGTGATCAAGTGAAAACTTTGAGGTTACCTAGATAAGTTCACGAATGCAAGGTGTATCTAATGGTTTGTTAACTACCTTAGCTTAGGTGATTATTAGGTGAAAACAAACTCCGAATATGATTTCTATTTCATGATATCTCTTTAAAAAATTGATGCAAGGTATTTTAAATGTTATTTTTTTTAATATTAGGATTGTTATATATTAGATTAATCTAGATTAATATGTTTACAACTCGGGTCATAAAAACACGATAATCCTATAAAAAACAAGTTAAAATAGATTATAAAGATCAATTCTCAATCAATATAATATTGAAAAATAAAATTTTAAAAAATTATTTAATTCAACTTGGGTTAACATGTCAAACCCACAACCCGAGTTATAAGATAAAAAAACTCATAAAAAACAAATAAAAAAAATTATAAAGTTTAATTTTCAAGTAAATCAAATAAAAAAACCAATTAAAAAAACACTAAAAAAAATAAATTGAATCAACCCTAGTTGCCCTGTTAAATGAACAATCTAGTTTATAAGATCAAGATAAATTCACATAAAAAAAATATAAAACATAATTATGAATCCTAACTTCGAACAGATCTAATCTTAAAAATTATAATCGAGAAAAAAAAACTAAATCAATAAAATCAGTATATAATCTAAAATAAAGAAAATTGAAAACAATTAAAAAAGCACAATTTTTAAAACAATCTAATATTAAAAAATAAAATTTAAATAAAATTTTAAAAAATAAGATTGTGTTCTTTAAAGGTTATATTGAAAAAGGAAAAATAAAAAAAATTCATATGTAAATTTAGTTGAAAATAGTGTTTTTTTTCTTTCAAATTCAACTCTTTTTGTAAGAAAATAACAAAAAAACTAAGAAAACAAAAATATAGCATATGCACATAATTTGATTTACTTTATTCACATAGAAAGGTTATAATAACACTTGATGACCAAATTAATTTCTTAATAAAAGAGGGAGGAACACATTACTTAGATAGGAAAGATTCTTTAATCTTAAAGAAAATATCGATCGAGAAATTATTGTGTCCGACAAACAAATTTTTTATAAATATTTTTTTAAGAAAAAAACTCTTGTTTCTTATATAAGCATTTTATTTATATATTTCCTTTTTTTAAAAGAATTTTTTTTTTGTATTTGAAGCATTGGATTTTTAATAAAAAATTATGATGATTTAAAAAGGAAAGTTTCAATCAAAAGCATAATATTATGTTTTGATAATTTTTATTTGAATGTATGCCACTATAAATAAATAATTAAATTTAAAGAAGTTTTATATAAATAAGAGATTATAATCACATCAAATATTCATGATAAAATTCGAAAGGATACATATATTAGCTGCATATATAATTATTTATGTACTTGTTTAATATTATCATAAAAATAACCCATTAAATAGTAACATTAAATATTCATTGTTGGCTTGGACAATTTTGGATTGTTTGAGATGGCTCCATTAAATAGAAATTGATGGTCCAAGGTTTTATACTCCAAAACCTTATATTTTAACATGTTATAATGAAACAAAATATCCTATCAATCTCATAATCCAATTTCCAACTATAAAATAAATTTAAATAGATCCAAAAACTTCAAATTAAATATAATAAAAAACATTTTGAGCTCCAATCTATTTTAGTATAACTCAAAGTAGAAACCACTTTTGTGTAGTGTCTTTTTTAAAAAAGAATTTATAAAATTAGATGGTTAGAATTTAACTATCCTAAAGCTTTCTCTCTCAAATACAAATTAGATGAAGTTTTATGAATAAAATGTAAAATTAAAAAACTATAAGGACCAATGTGTGGAATATCATGTCATTTGAACTATAAAAATAGGGAATTGTTTTTTTGTCAACATTGATCCTTGTTTTTTCAATTTTTTTCAGTTAAACCTATAATTATATTTGGTAATATCAGTTAATCTTTAATGCAGTGTTGAAATACTTTTTGGTCACGTCTCATAAAAAGGCCATCCTATTTTAATTTATAGTTAATTACCATACATTTTATTTTAATAATTTTTATTTTGAAATTCAAAAAAGTTATTCCAGAGAACCTGTACATTTCTTCTTGGCTACACTGCTTTTTTGAATCACGAATCACCCCGATATTACATATTCATGCGCAAGCATGGACAGAATTCTTCATTTCAAGGCAAACTTAAGTATGTTAATATGGAGTGCCTCCTACTGCAAATCGTCATTCCGACCTAATTGTAAATATATATTTGGCTATACAAGCATTGTTTTTGATTGAACGTATTTCTAATCTTTCCACCATTGCTCCATCTTAATTTCCAGAGAGAGCATTGAAGCTTATACAGCAACTGCTGAAAAATTGGCTAAACACCTGTCAGAAATTCTAGCTGAGAATCTGGGTGTTTCCTCCACTTTCTTTCAAGAGAATTGTCTGCCAGAAACTAGTTATCTTCGAATGAACAGATACCCTCCGTGTCCATTCTCTTCTGAGGTGTTGGGCGCGCTGCCCCATACCGATAGCTGTTTCGTCAATGTATTAAATCAAGATCAGATTGGAGGATTGCAACTATGGATGAATGGAAAATGGATTAGCGTTAAACCTAATCCAAAAGCTCTAATAATTAATATCGGTGACTTATTTCAGGTATGTTCCTATGAACTTGTGAAGCTATATTATTAGTGATTACAATTTACTTGCATATTTAACGATGCAGGTAGTGAGCAACGATGTTTACAAAAGCATAAGGCATCGGGTACTTGCCTCCAAACAAGCTGAAAGGTTTTCTTTGGCATATTTATATTGCCCCAGAAAAGATTCTGTCATAGAGAGTGGAATGAAGCCATCAATGTACAGGAAGTTCAGTTTCGGAGAGTTGATGGAGCAAAATGCAAGGGATGTTAAGGAAACAGGCAACAAAGGCGGGATCCCAAGGTTTCTCGTGTGAATGAGCATATTGTGCTGGAACGTTTCATCAGGACTGAATAAAATTTTATTATTAGTATATTAATCTCACATGGAATAAAGTTTGTTTGTTTTTCGATTATCAAATTCAATAAGTATATTTGGTTATTTAAATTGTAATTTAATTGAACATTTCAGTTTCTATAATATATGAATAAAAATATTTCACAGGCGCTTTTTTGCCTGATAGTATATGGAACTACAAGCAAGTTTGTTTTTCAACTGGAGCAGTAAATGGAGTTTCTACGGGGCTTTCAGCTATCATAACTAGTACAAACATGGACCTTAGTGATATTCAGCATTTCTCAATATTTTCAAACCTAGCGTGCGCGATAGATTTAAAGTATTTTCGTTCATCTTTTGATGTAAGTGAATTGAATGCATCTAGCCTCCCAGAATTCCAATACAATATCTTAATTAATTTCCCTATTAATCAATGCACACAACTTAGAAAAATAAAATTATCTTTGAGCACTTGAGAACGTGGCTTAACGGTCATGAAAAGAATTCAAATTTGACTTTATATATATATATTACGTTTATAGTACTTTACGTGTTTAGTAAATTTAGATATTAAATGTAATATGCGTAAACTGATTTAAATATTCTGAATTAAAATTATTTTTTTAAAAAAAATTGAACACAACTTAAAAAAATAAAATTATTTTAAGAGCACTTAAGGATAGCTTAGCGGTCATGAAAAGAATTCAAATTTGACTATATATATATATATATATATATGTATATTATTTTCATGGTACTTTACTTGCTTGTAATGTATTTAATGAATTCAAAGATTAGTTATACACGTAAATTAATTCAGATATTTTAAATTAAAATTATTTTTATAAAAACAAATTAAATCTAAACTCTAGAATAATTAAAGAAAAATTGAGTCGAAAAGGTTGGAAAATAACAAAGGATAGCATACGAGCAACTGCTTGATGTGAAAAACATCTCTTCTTCAATTTCTCTTTATATTGATTTTTAAAATAAAAATTGATGAAGAAATAATTTTAATGATTACTAAAATTAATTCTTATTGTATTGACCAAATTACTCAGTGTACAAAAATCATCTAACTTTATTTTCCTTTAAAACAAGATGTTTTCCCATTGAAAATAAAATGTTTGCGTAGAGAAAAGTTACACAATTTAATCATGGGTTATCAAATAATAACTTTTTTTTAACCAAAAACCTACAACCTAGGCTTCGGTGCAAGCCGAGAGATCATTTATGGCTAAAGCATAAAACCTATTTATTTTAAAACCTTTCTTTCTAAAAGTTTGGTGGTAGATTTAATTTTAACTTTTTAAAACTTTTATATATAAATTATACAAAAAAATTATAATTTTTTAATGCTTGATTATGAATTTTAGATTTGTAAATACATGTATATCAAGAATTTTTAAAGATAAATTTTTTATTTACCCAGAATTTATTTTAAATATGTTAATATTTCATGTTAAATTTTTTTATTAAGGAATAATTTTCAATAAATTTTTCACTAAAAAAAAATAATATGTCTCATATTTAATATAGTTTTATATATGTTCATTAAATATGTCTTAACAACAAATTATAACCAATAGATGATTCCTGACAATTTCCACTTGTTCTTTAAATATGTTACTGCTCGCCAGTGTTCTTGTAAAATTTGAATGCATCAAATACGTTTAGTGAGTGCAATAAAAACTCCAGTCAGCGTCAGCTTGTTTGTGGTGCTTTGGTTCAAGAATATTGTCGGCTTGGCATGTGACGCCAAGCCCGGGCTCGGCTTGGCATAAGGTCGTTTCAGATTCCCTGGGACGTAAGGTCTGCTGAATTATATTATGGACTGATTTTGGTCCAAATCCAAGAAGAACATGGGCTTCATGCTGGGCTCGTTGCTTCATTATTGGATTTCCATCTAAGAGTTTGCTAGTCCAATGGACTTTCAACCGGCCCAATTTCATATTTGATACAGGAACCTGGATCCTAATACCCCACCATGGATCAATAGCCTGGATGATGGGCTTGAGGGCCCGTTAGTAAAATGGCATATAAACATATTTCATCATATTCAATTTGATCATTCATTGCAAAGTTATATATATATATATCCTCACTTTCATGATATTCTTTTTTCTTTTTTTTTTTAATTATTGTTGGAGTAGTTTGTTCATTGTTCTGGATTAGGTTTATTAGTTGCGAACATAGAAATTTAATTTATGCATTTACAACCTAAATGTTGCATTACTCTAACCTTAATCAAGTGAAATCTTATAGGGTTAATTTTAATTATTTAATTTAATAATTTGTAAAAGTAATTAAATTGCAATTTTTATTAATAATAGCATCATTGAAAACAAACAAAAAAAAATAACATTATATTAATAATAATAATATTTTAAAATATTTAACCCTATCATAATGTTAGTGATGGAATAAGAAAAGTAAAATGGAGAAGGGTGGTGATGGCTATAATAGTTGGAGTAATATATTGGAAAAAATATCATCACCACCATCACTAATAATAATGACATTTATAATTATTGAAATGATGATAGTAACATAAATAATTTATATATATTGAATAAAAATAATACACACACATTAAAACATTACCAGAAATTCGTTTAATACCAACGGCATTATCGACAGAATATTTTTGTCAGTAATTTTCAATCATAATTACTGATGGCAAATTTTTCATCTGTAATTTTGTTGATATATATCGGTTGGACTACTTCGGTTGGTATATATTGATAGAATCATAAATAGAATATTCAGAATTTTTTAAAAAAAAAAAGATGGTTCATTGACATGGAAGTTTTTGCGGGTGATTTTACCAATGGAATCATTGAGGGATTTAAACCAGCAGCTCCGTATAGTAATGTGACTGATTCACTATTTGAATTGCTAACTGAATCATCAAGGGATTCAAACTGAAATCTCCGCACAGTGACGTAACCAATTCACCGTCAGAATGGGTGACAAAATCACTGACAAAAGTAGTCCGTTGGTGACTTCATCAACAAAAGTTAATATATGACCACTCTACCGACCCTCTCCTCCCCTATTTCTCCTTCTTTTTTTCCATCCCAACTCTCTCATACTGCAAACAACCAGCCCCTCCCCCCTGCCTAAAAAAAAATCTCCATCTTCTTAACACAAGTCATATTTCTTTAAGTTTTGTGGACATAACATTCGTGTTCTGATTTATTAACGGATTTTACCAGTTTTTATAAGTAATTCTATCTTTTTAAATTTTAACATTTAAATGTTAATTTGTTTTTTTTAGTATATATATTTTGTTAGTATATGTACATGTTTTATTGTTATTTCTTAAACGAACTTATAGTATATCAATGCATAATTTTGTACTTGTTATAGTTGTTTTAGACTTTGTAAAATTATATTTGTTTCTAAATTGTTGAAACTTTATTGAATTACCGAATTACATGTTTTATTTTGAAATAATTAATAGGTTGTTTAACAGGTCCATTTTAATTTTTATCAATGGTATTGCGGAGTTGTAATTTTTATAAATTTATATGTATTAATTTGTATGAACATTGATAATTGATAATGAATATTTAACATTTATGAGATGTTGTAATTAGTTTGTTGGATAATCTTGAGGTAAACCAATATTTTTACAATTCAAATTTATTACCTAACATAGTTAATTATTACATGTTGTCATCATAATTTTATAGAGGTTCAATAGAAGTCATGGATATATCGAGATTCATCCCAAAGATTACAGATGATAGATTATTGTAACAGGGTTCAGAGTTTTGTTAATTTCACAACATCTATTCCCAGAAATTTTACTAAATGCGATATTTGGTGTACATGCAAAAAGTGTCAAAATAAAAAGGTGTTGGTATGCACATGGAGAAGTATTTGTTCATAATAAGAGCATGGAAGAAAGGATGGTTAGATCAACTTCTAATGCTATCAACTTGCATAAAGCAGAAAATGACAACACTAATCCTTACAGGAATATGGTTATAGATGCAATAAGAATGAATCAAGGTAATGTTAATCAATTTCCAATCATAGAAGAAGAAGCTAATAGAGATGTAGTTAGGTTTTTTGATTTGTTGAAAAATTCTGATGAACTATTATAGGATGGCTACACGAACCATAGTAAATTATCAGCCGTAGCATTGGTATTCACCATCAAGTTAGATCATGAGTTAAGTGAGGCCTAATATGATAAAATTATTGAATGGGCGAGAAGCAGTTTACCTGAAAGGAACAAGTTGAAAGAGAACTTTTATGCTGTGAAGTCTATAATGAAACCCCTCAGTTTAGGATATTAGAAAATTGACATATGCCCTAACTTCTGCATGTTATATTACCTTGAAAATGTTGAGCTGACAAAGCACATGACATGTGAACGTTTCCATTACAAACCCCGACCTGACATGGAAAAGACTCTAGTGGTATATAAAACACTTAGATACTTCTCAATCATACCTAAACTGCAGAGGTTATTAATGTCACTAAGAATTGCTGAGCACATGACATGGCACCAATCACATGATGCGGTTGATGGAGTGATGACGCATCCTTTTGACGACAAAGCATGGAAATATTTTAACAGTATGCATCCTTACTTTTCAGCTGAATCAAGAAATATACATCTTAGGTTGTATACAAACAAATTTAACTCATTCGGGTTAATTACTACTTCTTATTCTTGTTGTCTAGTCATACTTATGGTTTATAACTTGCCATCAGGAATGTGTATGAGGCCGGAGTTCATGCTTTTATCTATTGTCATACCTAGTCCAAGCAGCCTGGGGTCGAATATAGATGTTTGTCTTCTACCGTTGATTGATGAGTTGGCTTAGTTGTGGTTCTTTAGAGCTTTGACTTATGATATATCAAGGAAACAGAATCTTGTTATGAGGGTGGCTTTGATATGGATTATTAATTATTTTTTAGCTTATGTAATGCTTTTTGGATGGAGTATGCATGGAAAACTAGCATGTCTATACTGCATGGAAAACAACAAGGCATTCACTCTAACAAACAGAGGTCAACTTCTTTTTTTGACTGTCACCATCATTTCTTGTCACC